TTTGCTGAACATTAAAATGAAATGAATTAAATTTGCCAGGTTGGTATTTTACTATTGACTTGTTTTATTTAAAACAACATTTCTACTGCTGCTAAAACAACGCAGAATATTGATTATTATGAGTAAATAGAATGTTATCCGATACAGTTGCTCGTGTCTTGCTGCAAAACATTTACAGGTAAATGGAAACTGTAGTCATATTTTAGCCTGCTCACCTTGCAGCAAAAGGTTAGGCAGGAGAAATGTTATTGGTTTATTATCTATACTCAAAGCTCAACTCAAAATGCCACCTTCATTAAAAACTGAATCTTCCATCCCTATCGCTGGTTTGCATGTTTTTTGAACAACATGATGTCCCTCCTTTCGGACTTGGTGTTCTACTTTCTTTTGTCATTCAGTTTATTTTAATGGATGTACACTTCTAAAATTCTAGGACTTTGTCTTCCTTTGGACTTCTTCTACACCCTGAAAGTTTCCTCGAGCTACCACAAACTGCAATCATAAACTGCTAACGTGAGAAGGTTATTTTACTTCATGCCAGGATTACTTAGTAGCCTGTCAACATAGCAGATTCAAATTGTAAAATGTCGTGCGTCATATGTTCCAACATTGTGCCTGCAGAACCATTACAGAAACAGCATAAACCCCTTTGTGACCCATCTGGTCCCGCACTAATGTTTATATTTCGTATCAAGACGTGTGAGCGGAGTGTGTGTAGTTGCTTCTTCAACTCACTTTGCCGATCCATCGGCTCTCAGCAGAATGGTCCCTACCACAAGAGCTGCGATCCAAACGATCACAATGACAACAACACCGGTACCGACTTGCAGCACAGTGCTAGTCATATCGATCATCTGCGGAAAAGTCGTTCAGTTCGCGGGACAAGGTTAATGACGGCAGCTGGCAGAAGGTATCGTCCCTGTTCTTGTTTATTAACTTGTGTTAGCAGCACAAGCTAGCTGGGCAAATCCTGCCGTCACATTTAAGCGAGCTGGTTGTGGACTGTGCTGAGAACGCCGCTATGCTGGCAGCAGAAGCAACTTGTGTGACCACGATAACAGAGTCCTGTTTCTGTAAAAGTTACGACAGAAAATTGCAATTTAAGGTTAGAAAGAGTTGATGAGAAGAGTCTCTTTCTGGCGTCCTGCACTTCCTGGTAACCACAAGCTCGAGTGTAATTGGATGGTCACACATGAGAGAGCTATCCAATTAAATGCGTCGTTCCTAAAACACCACGAAGTTGGAAAGTGTGGGTACGCACCATTATTCACCCGGCGGGATAAAACGCCGGGTAGGCGGGTTTAGCACATCTGTCCCTCCGAGAGCTTACCTCCGAGGGCGACGGACACTGATTTCGACCTTTTGATTTAATAAATAAATAAATAAAAATTGTGTTGTGTGTAAACATTAAAACATCGTGTTTTATCAAATTGATCGATCCGAAAATGCTAAATTCCAAGCAGCAAATCGATCTTGTAGGTTACATTTAATTATTTCGCATTTACATCAGTGGCTAACAACGCAATAAACTCTAATCATCCAGACAGGTTGTGTCTGATCTACTCCACTCAGCGCTTTGATCTCCGTTTAAGATGACTCCTCCGCGCACAACCCCTCATCATCACTTCTGCCTGGGATTTTCCCGGCTGACTGCTAAGGAAGGAACCCTTTAAAACGCGCAAATGGCTTTATTTAGTTAGTATTTACATGAATTTCAGCGTGAATCATCGTTGCAAAGTAAATAACTAAAATTAAGCAGCAAAAGAGAAAACAGGGAGAATCCACGGTACACATTTAGAGGAGAAGATAAATATTTGCGACAACTAACAGCAACATCCACAGCAATATTTAATTACATTTGTTTTGAGTAGTATATCTCTGACGGTCAGCCGGGCTCCACGCGCTGGCAAACCGGATGGCCACATCCACGAATCAAATGTATAGGTTACCGCGTGCGTGTGCGCACACGCGCCAGTAAACGGCGCTTCCAGGAAGACAACGTGGTACCTTTAGGTGACACTCGTAACATCCATGCATCAGTGTTTATATAGGGAAGGCGGGCTAGAACCCCGTGGCCATTGAAAGATACAAAAAGAGCAAATAAGCTAAGCTCCGAGAAAGAAGATGGAAAAAATGCCTTCTTTTTTTTTTTTTTTTTTTTTTTTTTTATTTTTTTTTTTTTAAATGGTAAAATTTTTTTTTTTATCTTTGAAAAAAAAAAAT